AAAAGTTGAAATGAGATTTCTATGTTTTCTTTTCATTTATTTTTTTTTTTTTTTCAATAAAAACGTTTATATATAACCGTTTATTATTACACTCACATGCTTGTTTGTTGATCTCTGGTTCTTATAGCAATGTTGGGATTTATGAGCTGAAGGAGTAGGAGCAGTAGGGAAATGGTAATTCAACTGAGTAATATTGAGTCGTAACAAATTTTTCAAACTTCACCAGTTTTATTTATGTGCTTTTGCAGACATTTATTTTAACGTTTTTATGTAAGAAGCTATTTAAAAATTTGTTCATACATAACATGACATGAACATAAAAATATAAAAAATTAGTTATTAAGAACTGATGGGGAATCATTTTAAAACCACTTTCTGATTTCTCAAATAAGCCGATAAATAAAATATATGTATATATACGAAGAATTTTTAAAAAAATATCGCGAATTTTGTGTTTTTTTCAATAATTATTTTTTTATTCATGAATATATATTTTGTCTCCTTCAAAGTAATCCCCATGAGATATTATACACTTGTGTCAGGGGTTTTTCCAATATTCGAAGCACTTCAAAAAATCATTTTTTTCCTTGTTCAGCTCCTTCTTTGATGCCATCTTTATCTCATCAATCATAGCGTAACGTCGTCCTTTCATGGGCCTCTTCAGTTTAGGGAACAAGAAAAAGTCACAGGGGGCCAGATCTGGGGAATACGGTGGCTGCGGCATCATTAGTGTGTTGTTTTTGACCAAAAAGTCGCGCACAAGCAACGATGTATGAGAGCTGGGGCGTTATCGTGGTGCAAAAGCCTATTTTTGTTCTTCCACAGATCCGGGCGTTTCTGGCGATTTGCTTTGCGCAAATTGCGCATAACTTGCAGGTAATATTCCTTATTGACCGTTCTACCCTGTGGCAAGAACTCATGATGCACCACGCCCCTGCAATCGAAGAAAACTGTCAGCAAAGCTTTCATTAAAAATTAAAAATCGAAGACCATCCAAAACAAGTGCAAGCAAAGCAGCTGTCAAAAATTAAGTGAACATTCAAAATTCCCGAGCTTGTCGGCATAAGTGACAGACATGAGTACCAACATAACGCCACAAAAAAATCGAAATTCGATTAGGAAAATTCAGAATTCGCGATACTTTTTGAACACATCTTTTATATAACCGGCGGTTTTTGTGATTTCCAACAAATGGAAGGACCCAAAGTTAAAACTAATTTTTTGGTATTTTAAGAGTAGCATTTATTTTATGTCAGAATTAAACTCAGAGGGTTTGCCATTCCTTGCAGAAATGAGACCGGAATTCGAAAAATAGTTTTTCTATTACTTCGGATATTGATTTAACCAATATTCAAACCCTGGCCTTCCGAATGGTCACTCGGTTATTGCGGCAGCCAAAATAATCATAATTTACATCAAAAAATCTGCCAGCAATTTTGTCACTAAAATAGGAATATATATTGATCTTAGGTTTCGTGAAGCTATCAAATTCTTTGCTCATTAGAATGTGATATGAAGGTAAAGAAACCATTTTTATTTGAAGTTTACTCATGTAAACTATGTACATACTTATAATATACAAATTAATATATGAGTATGTTAAGATAAATTGACCTTAAAGGAATGTGTACAGGCAACCAGATAAGTTTTAACCACAATATGTTCACTTAATACTTAATATTTCACTCAAATTCAAATTAATTGGTTTCCAGTTTGATCATCGGAGGCTCTTTCGGTGCCAAATTGGTCGTTTCAAAATTAAACTAAACTAAACCTTTGTACGTATTTAAATGAGTTATACGGAAAATATGTTTACTTATATAAATTTGTAGATAACCGTTAGTTGTTAGTGCATACGTGCCTAGGGATTAAACAAATGATATTAAGCTTAAATTTGAGTAACGTTTTATTGGAAATTGTGTTTGTGTCTGCCAATTGGGATCGTTATTGCGACTACTCACATAGGTAGTTTTTATGATTTTACAGCCATGGAAACTGACATTTCTTGTAGTCCTTCTATTGAGTGAAGCTCATACCTCATACTAAAAGCGAAACTAATTTATGCTTTCTTGTGGTTAGCGTTGTTGTTGTCATGACTATATTTGCTATGATTTGATAAGAGTAAACAACATCCAAATACATATATTAAGCAGATTGTAAATGTTTGTCAATAAATGGTTAAGATTTTAGTTGTTGGGGCGTATTAGTAATATCGGATATTTGTTCGACCTTTAATTTTGCATAACATATGGATTCATAACAGAGAAGTGGATTTATTTTCCCTATTTTTTCTTTTCTCTTTATATTGTTAAATCAACATCTGTAAAATATAGCTGGGAACCTTTTAAAAATTTAGTATAACAAAATATTAGTTATAAATATTGGATAAGTGCATAAGTTCGTGCCCGATTTCAAGTGCAAACATAANTTTCCAACGATATATAATATGTATATATTTCTTTCACTAGCGCCACTCTCAAACGATTCGAACGGCATCCAGCGGAATCGGGCACGAACTTATGCTCTCATCCAATATTTTTAGGAAAAATTTCAAAAAGTCCTAAAACTAATCCTGAAAGTCTCTTACTCTAATAATTGAAAAAAAAAAAAAACAATCAAAGAAATACCATTGTCAATGGGGTGTGTTCCTCGCAATTTCGAGTCTCGCTGTAAAGCATTCTTTCGATCATTCATTTAGGTGTTCGGACTGTTTAGAACCTAATTATCGGCAACCTTTTCAGAAATTTAATTTAAAAAGTCGAAATCACTAACACAATAATCTTCATTTACATAAAAAAGTAAAATGAGTGACTGTTCAACGAGTGGAAACTGCATTATTTTGTGAGTTTATTATGAAGTGACCTACGAACTTTTGTTTTAATTGAGTGTTCAAGCGAATTGTGCTCACATTACATGGGCTAGCATAAGCTAAATGAGTTTTTAATTTTCCAAGCGCTTTTTTAAAAGACACTTAACCGGTGCGACCTTTTTCGGCTTGTTCTGCTTTGATCTCATTCGGTTAGGCTTCTTGCGGTTACCTAATATTTTACGTTGAAATTTTATTGCTTAGGTATACATTTCTTTGGAAGCTTAATTTTCATCGCCTTTGGTAATAAATTGGTAGTAAGTAAACACTTCAAACACATTTTTTCTTACATTTTCCTTATTTTCCTTTCTTCCCTTACGCACAGTTCACGACCACAAAGTAAATGAGCCGAAATAAGTACGGCTGTAATTTAACCTTATAAATATTCTTGATGATTTAATGACAGTCGAAATTTGATGGCGCGTGTAAAGTATTGCTGCAGACAAATCGCGCATGAAACACCACCCGGATTAAGTGTGAATTGTAATGGTGATTTTGTGGAAAAACATTTTTCAATTGATTTTAAATTTAATTTTGAATCGAGAAAAATATCTATGAGCGCATTTACGCTCAGCCGAAAGCTAAATTCACTTAAATTAATTTCATTTCCATTTAGCTTATAAGCTTATAAAGCTTTTTTTTAACATAATGGACATAAACGCACATTTTTTCTGATTTTACGAGCTCGTAGCTTTTTATTAGACGTGCGCATTCACCTTTTATTTTCCACACTCAGCACAGAGCTTTGATTTCACTTTTGAAAACCGCAAATGTATTTGTTATTGTTGCTATTATTAATGCAGTTTTTATTCACAACTTTTTCATACCTCACGCCCATCCACACATTGAGCAGCAGTTTATTAAGTGTCGAGATCCTAAAGCATTCAGTGGCGGTACAAATTTATCGCTGTAAGCGGAAGTTTCTAGCTGCAAGAGGCCGCATCTAAGCCATAGAGTAAGCTTATTTTAAACCATATAACCAGCTCTAGGAGAAAAGTTGATGGAAATCCTGGACGATTAAATCTTGCGAACTTTTCTCTTGATGTCATACAGTTATTTAGTTTATCTAACCATGCGTTCCAACCTCCGTGAGGTGAGATCTGGAGGCATATGGTTTCTCAATTGGATGATGGCCGAACACGCGCAAATACAGTGCTCCAGCATTTCGTCATTTTCTGTTCATGCTCTTTACTTACCTGATTCCCCTCTACGTAACTTGTATAGACGATATCACAGGTGTTGATGCCCCTCAACATACCAACAACAATATTACAATCTCGTTTTTTAGATCTTAAACAAATGAGAAGGAGTTTTATAAGCGCTGGAACGATTTTTGGCCTCCTCCAGTTTATGATATGTGTCTTTCGGTTTTTTTCAGAAAATGAAGAGACCTAAAGTCCATACTAAGCCGCCAATGAGGAGCTTTTTTTTAATGTTATAAACACACTTGGAGGAGCGACCGCAATTCAAAGCATTAACTTCATTTTTTTTTTTTTTTTTCAAATTAATTTTGTATAATTTTTGTGTCTTGGTCGGACCAGGTACCTATATCGAATACTGAATATGGCAAAGATCAATCAAAGAACCAGAAATTTTCTCATTTATAATAGTATCAACAACAGTTACAAATATTCAACCCTACACCCACATAGGTTCATAGGATTGGCTTTCATGTGACTTGAGTTATATAAGTTGAAGTAGATTTTCAAATACATCACATTATAAATTAGAACAATCATCAATTGCCTCGTCTTCACTAGAATAGTTCACTTTGACATTGACGAAATTGGTTATACTTTGGAAAATCGTATAAAATATGAATGTGTGTATTATCCATTTAATATCCTAAAATTAACACATACATATGTAATCATTTCAATATGATGTGCTGTGGTTTTTTTAATGTTTCTATTTGAAATAAAAAATGCCGTCATCGGTGCGCCTCCTTTAGGAAAGTTGACTACAAAGCTAGAGTAATCTGGGTATATCGCCGTCTGTGCTCTGCTATTTTTAGTACTCACATGTATGTAGGTGTCTCTTATAGTAAAACAACATTAAATATTGTTAATTTGTTATATTATTCTTAGAGTTAGTATTCGTTGATGTGATTTACACTTAATATAGTCTTAAGCGCTTATCTTACTTAAATTGCTTTGGCCAAAGTCAGCTGCTGTTGTCAGCGTCGCAGTAAATTAACAGCATCGTTTCCTAATTGTATGTGTAAGGCGAATTCGTGATAGTCTCAAAGCAGAATTATGTCGGAATTTTATATGGTCTGTATAGAAACGCACGAATCGCAACGAAAATCCACCTAAAATGGCTTTTCACTTTCCTGTGGAAGAAAATGTGAAAGAAATAATGAAATCAGAAATCATGTAGACTATTGTTAACGTATTTAGCATATAATTAGTATTATTTTCTTAAATAGAAAATTATATAAAAAATGTCTGATGAGCTACTTTTTACGTACTTCAATTACGCTTTTCAAAATATTCTGTCCTAATTTAATAATTTTTTTTTATCGGCTCATTGGCAGATGATTATACCATTTTTGTTTATTTCTTTCTCTTCTTTTTTCCATTGAAAATGCCAAATACTTTTGTATAACATTAATATTTCCTCCAGAGAGTCCTTCCAAAGTTTTTAAAATATGAAGTTTCGCGCTTCCTTTACATTAAAAGAGTTGACTTATTGATAACAAGTTCATATTTGTTGTCTTCTATCCAGATACAATTAGACTCTTAAGGTGGTACATTTTCATTAAATACAAGAAGTCAATGCTTTCCACAAAATTCAATACTGTTTCTATATCTAGCTTTAAATTTTCTACCAGTGTGCTGAACTTACTCTCAGTCAACTATGACTAGGTCTACTACTATTGTATCTTGCATCCCCAAAGTGAAAGTCATGGATCTGTAACTATTTTACACACTATATACAGAAGGTGCGATATAGTCTGCGATATAGACCGGCTGTGGCAACACGATATTGATGCTATCAGTCGACAGTACATCCATTTGAATTCTATCATAGGTTATTCGCCTTAATGTCTGCTATCTTAACCAAAGGTGGGTAGCTTTCAATATTTAGAGCCTGGCCCTGTTCAAGACAGACAGTCTCACAAGACTATGCTGTATCTTCTAAAGGGAACTTCAAGTCTGCGGATCATTCTATAACAAAGTGGTTACTCAAGATTCATACTAACTTTGAAATGTCTTCTTTGAAAAGAGAGTGCACTTCGCGTGACCTATTTGAATTTCTTTTGCGCCAAATTATCCTAACGTATGCTGCGGGTCACAGAGGGAGTTCTTTAAATATTAAATGGTCAGAGTTGCAGTTTACATTCAGAAGTTCTTTATCGCGAATAATAAGCTTGTTCTTAGTAGTCTAGCAAACTCACCTGCTTCAAAGCTTCCTTTCAAGAAACTCGTTTTAAAGGAACCCGTGGAAAATAATCAATTCTATTTGATTGCCTCTTTAAATATAGGGCCTCTAAAAAAACTCTAGAAGAGAGCTCGAAACACGTTTTCTTTTTAAGACGACAATACTTCCGAAACTGGACTATAGTGTTTCGCACCATCCACATATATGTGTATACATATCTCCATTTTATTTATCTGAGTAAAGATGCTTTAATTCCATTGCTCTCTTGAAGGCTTCTCTGTTATCATAAAACTACTCCATAAAACAGTAGTGGTTCTAATTTTGGCGTGTAAATCTTGTAAAAATTCTTTTTATGATTTTAATTATTAAACCGAACCATCGCTTAACATTGATTAGTCCATTTCCAGGTTGTCCTTCTCATTATCTAGAGTTTTCTTGTCATAAATAAATGTTATCTGCTTAGATACCTTTTTTTCATACAAGTAACACAGATTGGTTTGTCGTTTGAAAGGTTAGATTGACTTATTTGACCATAAGCAGCCACTGAATAGGCTGAGTGTTCTCGTTTTTCAATGTCTTCTAACTAAGATTAGTTTGAAACTGGGCGTGAAAGTTATGACTTCCGAATTGGTTGGAGGTCGGGCACTCGCAAACGGAGGGCTTCAGCATTTCGTCAAACTTTTTACACGTTTTGTACATAGCTCATTCGACTGTACTAAACTTGATAAGATTACATCTGATGGGCGATGTCCCATTAGCATTGTAAGTTCACTGCAGCTTACAGTAAGGAACAGCCTTGTTTATCTACAACTCAGGCTGCTTCACAGTAATGTAATGCTATGTCGCATGTAAGAGTGCTTCTTTTTCGTGCTTAAGAGAATACTGGTAGGCTTGAGGCAGTTGATATTAGCTTATTAGCACTCACATCGTTCGTCTGCCTTTTCATTGCCTTTAACATCCGTGCAATCATTCCGTTTGCTTCGATTATCTGTTTATTGTCTCTTTATATTCTCATGCACATTTCATTGCGTGAACACTAAGAAATAGTCGCTGTGCTGTCCACCAGAGACCCAATAGAAATTCTCATTAAAATGTTTGTCCATCTGCGCTTGTGAGGCAGAGTTGCGTCATTGAGTATGATTCTATCTTGGATATAAATAAATTGAAAAAAAAACAACTCAGTAACATATAATCTGCCAATGAAGCCACTGATCATGGTCTTGCCTGAAATAAAAGGTAAAATAGCGGTATTTTTTTCATTTCTAATCTTTCGCACAAAATATGGAATAATGCAAGGGAAAGCATAAAGATAACTACAATTACAGCACCGTTAAGCTTAAAAAGATTCCTGCATTGCGATATTTAAATTCATAAATTAAGTTATTAAATTTACGTAGTATTTCGCGCGAATTTGTTTCATAATACTAAAAATGCACCGTTGAATGAAAACGATTTTCCTTAAGCATATAAAAATTATCTTGTTGCCAGTTGAATGATTTTTCCAACAAACAAACATACAAGTAAATGGTATATGGGGCAGACATAATTTAACAGTGTTAGTGTCAGATTTCTTTTCCAATAACATTTTCTCTATATATATATATATGTATATGGATATACGCCAGTAAACATTTTTGCCACTGTGTATTTTGGTGAATGAAATAATCGCATGCATGCGGCGAACTATAGTCCTTTGCTTAAGAGCTCAACTTTCATTTACGAATTTTTGTTGGTGCACTTTAATTAGCTTACCTTGATTCTGCAGATGGCTTACACTTTCCCACAGAAACATTAACAGAAAAAGAGGATCAGCGTTAGTGACTTTTCATAGGATGCTGCTGATAAGAAACCTGCAAGGAATAAAAACGATTACAAGCCGAATACAATCCGTAGTAGGTTTGAAAAATTTTATTTCAAAATTTTATGTCGAAAGAAAAGACTTAAATTTATATATTAAAATATCTGGTCAACTATTTTGGGACTAGGTTATATTTATATCAATCAAAATATGTTTAGATTTAGTTAACTGCCGCAAACATCTATATGTAGACGCGGTTTATCTTTCAATTTTGAGCTGCATCATTTTGTAAAAATCTTCAAAATAGGTATGTAACTTGGAATTTGTAAGTTATAAATGTAAAATTTGTTCAATATTACCAAAAAATATAGATGTTCTAAAACAGTTCCATAAAAAAACCCAAAAACAATTCAACGGAAAAATTGACCTGAAAAAGCATCCAGGAAATTACGGAAGAACCTTTGCCGTGTGAATGAAATTTTCCAATAATAAAAAGGGCGTTGCCTCATGATATTTGTTGGAGAATTCTTCGCAAAAACAACTAGATCGCACGTTACAGCTACAGAATTTCTGAGCACTTGATCATGGAAGGAGGAGTGAAAAGACTACAACAAGTAAAAGCGGCACACATTTAGCTTAATGAGATAACCATTGGCTCGTACTGTGGGCATCCCAAGCTCGAACAAAAGTGTTTGGGCAAAGAAGTCTGATGAGGAAACGTGGTGGATTCCGAAACACCTATAACTTCTAATAGTTGGTCTGAAAGAGTTCCATAAAAAAAAATCCAGTAAAATTTTCTAGTTCTCTAGAGTACTCTAGATATTTTGCAATGAAAATAGAAAAACATGAAGTGGGAAATTTCAAAACTCACTTAATAGGCCTCCAGTTAGTCAATAAGTTTCATTGTTTCATTAAATTGAGACATTAGTTAATAAAACCTTGTACTAATTACATAATGTATGTAATAATAAAAGCAAGGAGAAATATATTTGTTACATATAAATATATACAAATACGCTTTGGCAATTAGCTTGTTTTTGTGCTTTAATTTTTTCATTGCCAGTCATTTCCACGCTCATTCATTAGTAACAGCTAAATGTTTTGCAATTAGTGTTATGTATTAAATAATATGTATATATGCAATCAAACCAATACCATGATATTTCACTAAGCTTTAATGCAGTGTGCTAATGCTTGTGCTGTAATCCAATTGAGCACAATTAAGTTGTGAACAGTTAGAACTGTGTGTTTAATTAAGCTTACAGCCATCTTTTGCAGCAGATGAAAGCACGAAGTCTTAGCGCGTTTGCCATACTGTTATTATTGACTATAAAGTGATATCAGTTTTGTGGTTTCGAAAGCAAACGGAAACCAAATGTTTTCAAAATAATTTTTTTATGAAATTAAATTTTTATAATAAATCTGAGCTTTGCTCAAATGAAAGTGTCGGGAAGTTTTGCAAATTTCGATCCGTTCACTCAGCCTTAAAGTAACGATTGCTGGCTTTCAAGTACCCTACTAAATAGTTTAAGGTTCATCCGCATAAACGTGGTCTTTCATGTAGCAGCGCAAAAAAGCTTCAATGGTGTCATACTGCATGATTTCAGTGGCCAACTGACACCGCCAATGAGAGAGAATATGCGAATGGGAAATTACTCTCGCAATAAGACCATATTCGCTCGTGTTGTGTGCTATGCAGCACCATCTTGTTGAAACTGCATATTTTCTAAAAGGTATTTATAAAATTGAGGCCGAAAGAAATCAGTTAGCATACGATAATAACGCTCCGAATTGACAGTTATGGTCTCGATGTTGTCGCATTCAAGGAAGTAAAGTCCAATCACATCTTCGGACCAAAGAGCGCGCCAGAAGCAATGACTTCTCTAGAATTATTTGTCGATGTTCGGAGCTCCAAATGTGAAAAATTTCCTTATTTACATACACACCGAGTGAGAATGAAAGAGTTATTCGAAAAATTGCCATCCACTGTTTGTTGTTCAATCAGCCATTCAACATATATACGACGTTGTGAAAGGGTGAGTCGGCTTCAGTTGTTGTAAGAGAGTGCAAAATATGCCATAATCTGCCGTAAGAAAGTTCCATATCTTCAGAATGTTGAGAGATATACATACTTTCGCTTTCAGTAGCAGTAGCTTTTCATAAATGCCTGAAAAAACTTGTTCGGTTTGACATCTGGTAAATTTAGATGTCAAAATACAACCTTGTGCGTTTAAATGCACAAAATGGTTAACCCTATACAATAAATATACACACGTTCAATTCAATCATTATATTCATATTAAACAAAATGCGTTGTTTTGGTTAAGCAACTAATTCAAAACCTTTCCTTACTTAGTTTTGATTTCAAATATGTTTTTTTTCAAAAATATCGCATTTTATTATTTTTTTATTATTTTTTTTGTGGTTTAAAATATTTTATTTCCCAAACTTTACACATTCAATTTGTAAATTCACATTGGTATATTTAGTTTCATATAACTCACTGTTATTTCTTTGTAGAAGAATCAGCTGTATTTGCTCTCTTCCATTCTCTCTCTCTCTATCTCTTCCATGATTCCGCCCTGTGCTTTGTTTTTATATGCTGAAATTATTGCATAGCATGGCCCTCGTGAGTGTCGTTTATTTTTATTTCTTACTCGTTTGCACCATTTACAATTATTTGTACTTTATTTTATGTTTAACACTGAGTTTGGCTTTTAACTTTGCTGCGGTTAAACTCGGTTTAAAGGAAATAATCGCGCAGAACCACCTAGCTTTGTAGAACGGAAGGTGCGTTGTATTTTTCAGCATGACAGTGGACCACACTCATCGATATTGAATCGCCAGAAGCTCCAAGAGCTTGATCTTCTTATGACTCTTACTTAAAGTCTAGATCTTACACCTAGTGATTTATATCTGATTCACCCTGACAGTAAGTCTGTGAAAGTCCATTATCGCAATCTTTGTCTATAGGAATATGGGCTTTTATGAAAGGGGCATAAAGTTGCCAAGCAAAGCGTTGCATATTTGGCCTAAATATAACATTTTTGACTATGATAAATAAAGCCTAAAATTTATTGCAAAAATAATGAGTCACAATATGTCGAATATTTAAAAAAGCAACTGATGTAGAGTTAAAATAAATTTCTGCTTATTTCGGTTTAAAGATTTGAAGTTGACGTAATGGAATTTGAAAAATGAGGGTTCTGGCTTTTAATATATCTTAGCTTTGTATACTTTCGCGCTTGACTCTGCGGAACACTCAAATACATTAAAAGCACTTAGAGTATATACGCCTTGGCTTACTAACCAGCTTATATTTCTACAGGCATTAGAGTATATAAACACAAAATTATTATAATTCCTACACAAACGCATACTAATACCTTCTGTATCACTATTTGCTCTTATGTATTTTAAATAAGTATACATACACTGCAGGGAAAAATACTAGTTGTTGACTAGAATACAACTAGTTTGCATTTTTACACCAATTAGTTCATCTTCCATCTATTATCCATGTAAGCAACTGGTATTTTTTACATTTCATTGTTCTACAAACTGTTATTAGTCACTCTGTGCATCAGCTTCGTACTAGTTTTATACCGGTTCATATATACCAATTAAAATATTGATTGTTTCATACCAGTTAAAAACTAGTTCAACTCATGCAGTCCAAATGGTTGAAGAGATTGTAACACATTTTCTTTGTGCGTTGAGATAGAATTGGGCATGATTTTGTAGAACTCTTTTCATTCGAAGTTTGAAAAAATTGAATATGGCTGTTCATCTTTTTTTAAAACAGGAAATTATATAAAACATCACAATAATGTTACGTGTGGATATAAGATATTTGTTTCAATTTTATGGAAAACTAATACAATTTTGTCCATTAAATACTAGCATAAACCTGGTTTACAACAACCTGGTATGATTTTGTCTTCAAAATACTAGTATTTATCAGAGTGTTAGTTTACCTTCTCACTGTAGGGTATTTACTCGGATGGGTGCTTCAATGAGGAAAGCAGCTTTTAAGCAGTAGATGCCCTTACGCCATGGTAAGCAAATACCCACTTAAACGTATTTACATAGTTGGCAATCCACTTAAAGCATATAATGTACAATATTAAATATATTTGCACGTACATACTCTGTATGTAAAGAAACCCATATGAGCAAAATTTGAGCACAGATATCAATATATTTGGTTTGCTGTTTGCTTTCTTGTATTTTTCGCACTTTATTTATATTATGTGTAAATCGTCATTCTGATGATAGCACTCTTCAAGTAAGAATATCTGAAAATAATCAAAAATGTATTATCCAACAAAAAAAAAAAAAAATAAAAAATAAAAAAAATAATAATAAAAGAATATCAGCTTTAATGGAGGTGAAGTGTTCGTTGGCAAGCGCTTACAAATCTTCAATGCGGCATTTACTCTCATGCGATTGCACGCGTTCAGGCGTTCAGCTGCGAGTGAGCAAAATATCAGACATACATACTTAATATCCATGCATATGCTCACGCATATTAGTTGATGCTCCTCTGAAGGCAACATGTAAATACTTGTTTATTAGCAGTCAACTGGAAATAACAGCGCAGGAAACTAAAGTCAATGACCTCCCAATGCTTAGCGATATAAACATTTATGTAATTTGTGTTTTCATATACCCTGTAAGCAAACTTTCAACTCTCGAGCTTAGTTTAAGTCCGGATTGAATCGAATATTATATAATTAGCTGATATTAACATTAAGCTCACAGATCAGTCAAAGATAGTAGGTCCATTATGTGAGAGGTAGGTGTTTTTATGGATCTATATTAACCATTCTTGGCCTCAAATAATTGATGACGAGACAGAAGGAGAACGAAAAATTAAAAGTTCTATTTATTATATAGAAGTATAGGAGTCTTAGTTTCAAATCATTTTTATCTACATCATGGGAATCAAAGATATAAAGTTTGACCAAATTCCTTCCTGTGATTTCTGAGATTTACCCTTTCACATAAAAGTAGATAATGGAATGCCCAAGTGATATTTTTTCTTCACCACTAACTCAAGCCTATGTAAGTAATAATAAACTTCTCATCGAAATACTTGTATTCTTCAAAATAATCGTTGCATGGAAGTTCGTCTATTTACAACAGCATTCCTATATATTACTTAAAGAATATGTTCATAATGTTTTATCAGACTATGTCAACCCTTACTTGAGTTATATGGACGGAAAAAGAGAAGCACATATTGTATATATATAAGGTTGTCAAATATCTCCCATCCGCTTTTTTGCTCTTCATTCAATGCTTTATAAAAAGTGTTACAGTGATCGGATTTAGTTAAAATATGCGCCCCCTCTTTATTTGCGAAGAATTCGGACAGCCACTTTTCACAAGCCTCTTTTGAATTCAACTTCACACCACCAAGGGCATTCGCCATGGACAGGAAAAGGTGGTAATCACTTGACGCTACGTCTGGGCTATATGGT